GGCCTAATCTAATTAAAATTATCAAACCCAAGTATCTAATTCACTATAAATGCTGCATTCAGCCAGTTTTACAAAGCTATCTAATCAACATCATAATAGCAATTTTAACAGATACATCTGGCAGCTAAGTTGTACATAAAGTAGAACAGGGATCATGCCAACTGCTGGGCACATCCCGCTGGTCACATGGCTGTACCTTCCATTCATAATAATTAGAGTGAAAAGGCACACTACCTGCACAAGGGACTCTTCCACTGCAACTTTCAGTGGAGAGAGGGTAAAAAGAAAGTTCTAAAACTCAATGTGCTGTAAGTCTTTAACATAAGCTATGATATTGGTTATGTCATGCTAAAGTAAAAGGTAATTGCCACAACATCAAGGGCAGTAATGACAGTTTAATAATTTCATATTGCAAACACAGTTCCAAACTGACACATAAAAACGAAGCCACAACCCTTAATCAAATAACCAGTCAACAATAACTAAATCCCATGAACGCAATTAACCAAATGCTAACAAAGTAAAATTTATATAAAATCAGTTATTCTCTGATTTCTGATTTGGCCTGCATTATACTACACAATGAAAATAACTCATACTGCCAGATGCCAAAATAGTGAACAGATGAGGTCTTCAAATAAAAAAAAATTACATTCTAAGTTCCCTTTTTTTAGTAAAATTAGAAATTTTAACATTTAACACATTTTTTCTGCCACAGGGGGAAAGTTTCTAATTTGTTGTGTGCAGATGATTCCCCCCTCTATTTTCATAAAGTGCAGTTGGTTTTGGCTTCCCATATTTATTTTATTTTCTTTTTCCCAGCAAGTCACTTAAAATCTCTCTGATTCTTCAAGTTAGAAGCTCACATCCTTTTTTAATCTTCTGTTGACTATCTGCCTGAAAAACACTCTTCCAATCCAGCTACAGAATACGTATAACCCAATTCATGAAGCATGACAAAAGCAGGGTACCCTTCTGTCTTGTTTTGTAGTGCTAAAGGAAAAAAATTAAGAAGGCAATGACTGAGCCTACACTGCAAATGTTATCAATGCTCATGTATGAAACCAAGCAAAATAAAAGTTACGCCACACATGTTCAGATGGATTTTAAGTTCTGCTTTCTTGAAGATTCATTCAGAAAACATCCTACAAAAATGAAACACTACAGAGCTAAGGAGGCTAATCAAAATAGTTTAGCTGTCTTAATAAACGTTAAGTATCATAAGGAAGCTAAAGCTACAGACTTGCCAATTTTGCTCTTGAGTTCATTCTGTTCTTGCAAAAAGGTACAATGATGAGACACTTGAGTATACTTCCAATAATGCCAACCATTCTTTGAGCAGCAATATCTAGGTCAATTCTCCTACATGTGGACAATAAATACACTCTAAAAACAAAACCGGCACAAATTGCAGCAATTCAAGACTCATAACAGCAATATGCACATGCAACATGTACAATAGCACTGTGCACATACTTTTATAGATTATACTGAAAAACATTTGCACCAGCAGGTTCAGATCCTTCCCAGCAATAGAGCAGATCTCAGTAGAGACACTCAAGAGGTTCTTGTCTGTAAGCAATTGGGAGCACCTTTTGCAATTTCTCAAAGCACACAAAGTTCCAGCAGGTGTGTTTCTCTTTAAGCCACCCACCTTTTCAGCTACAAAAAATAACCCTTTTCAAAGAAATCACACTAGCTGGTACTCATCATCTTTAGTTATGGTGTGGTGATTGGAAGAAGTCCCACAAATGTAAAAGCTGTCAGTGTTATCAGACACAGGAATCTAAACTATCACTTCTTATAGCTAGTCCTTCTGGTGACGGTTTAGAAAAAAAACCCCAAAACCCAAAACTAAAAGTAAGGCAAGATTTGAGATGTTCATTAGCTTGGTACAAGCTCATCTCTAGCAATTTCATAGGCTCCCTGTGCCAGATTGGTCTGCAGACAGTGAAATAAGCTACTGCAGTCAGCTGTGCACACCAGCAGTCCAGCAGACAGACTGCAGTCTACGTCCGGTCAAAAATGCTCTAAATGCATCTCCCAGCAAATTTCTTCATTCTCCTTGACCACAGGATCCACAACACACTACTGAGATGCAAGAACACCACAACTTTCAGTAACTCAAACCGTCATAGCCACCAGCTCCTTAGACACAAAAGGGCATGGCAAGTAGTTGTTAACAGCAATAAAAAGGGGGGGAAAGCAGTTGCGTGGAATCATCCCCAGAACAGCTACTGCTGTTCCAGACTGGGCAAGGAAGGGAACAGACAGCCCTACTCATGCCTCATTTTTCTGATCTAGTCTCATGGAAGCCCAGCTGGAAAAGCACTTCCAGGCATTATCACTTAAGGAAACATACCAAGTGTTTGAGCAAGCTGGTCTACACGCATGTACAAGAAGTTCTGTGAGGAAATTGGGAGGCAGAAGAAAACCCTGTCCATGCTTTCTTCCAGCACAGCCTCATGCATTGCTCCTCTTTCCTCCTCGTGTTAAAAAACCACATGCAAGTAATATTCAGAGCAGCAATATTCACACGTGTGACATTACACACACCAATGTCTGTATGAAAACAGGACTTAAAACATCTAAACATATTTGATTCTACTCATTCCAACTCAGAATATCCTGTGATTCTGTGATTTATTACAGTGGAAAAGTTACAAACTTTTAATTTTGGCTCCAGTTCTCTCTGTCCTACCTACAGAGAATACAACAACATTTATTGTAGGGCACAAATTACCTACCATTTCAAAGAGAAAACAAGAACACATAAACCTTATCAAGTTTATAACTAACTAGAGAATGAAGATAACTCAAGACCTTGTAGCAGCAGCTTTACCTGGAAGAGATGTATCCCATCACATCAGGAGGTGGATTACTGCTTTGTGGAGAAAATTATGTTCACACTACCACATTTTGATACATTCTAAAGACCAGCACAAAGAAAAAATGCATGCCAAATACTCCTAGAAAGGTTAGGGAACAACCGAAAAATTAAACTACTGCAAAGAAACTGATAAGAGTTTGTTTTAGTACTTGCACTAAAATACAGTTAGCCATGATTCCTTCAATTACAAGAAATCCCTTTTTGTGTTCATAGCCAAAAAAAAAATAAAATTCAAATAAACCAAACTAAGTACTCTGAAAAATTTCCTTATTTCTATGAGCCTTAAAAAGCAAGTTATATTTTCATCTGATTTATGAAGTCATTGGCTGACGTGCACATTTAGAAAATTCTCCTTTATTACCTATTACATCTGAAATGCCTACCAATATGAAGCATGTATGGACTGTGTGAACCTAAGCAGAGTACCAAGAACCGCCACTCCTTATGAAAGTAGAAGGAAAGCTCATTTCTTTTCTTCAGTACATTTCTAAATGCATGAGTGATTTTCCATACATGAATGATTCCTACTTGGTTATCAAATTAGATTCAAGGCAAAAGTCACTCTTCTCTGTAACCAGCAGAGGGAAGGGAAAAAAACCAACACCAAAACAAAACAAAACACAAACAACCTTCATTATTTTCCTGCTACTGTTTGTGATGTATGGCAATTACGAGGTTAGTGAGACAGAACAACCTTTTGTAGACAATCTTCAGGTCTCTCCATTCGAGGAAACTGCACATTTTCGGTTTGCGGGCTAATACCGTTTGAACAAGTTCCCTTGTGATTTTCTTCTTTTCTTTGTCAGATAATGGGACATACCACTTCTGGAGTCTCAGTTTCCCCTGGCGACTAAAAAGCAACATAAACTGCATCTGTTGAATTACAAGGAGGAAAAAAAAAAAAAGCATTAATCTCAGGCTCTGAGTTTTAAAAAGATATCTGTGAGAAAAACCAAACAGGAAGGAGGACAGACATCCAAAAACCCTAACTGTATTTCTATAGCACTGGCAGATGTTATACAAGATCTGGAAGTACCAATAATACAAAGGATTCCGCTGAGCAAGGTCAGTCAAGCCAAAGGCAGTAGAAAGCGCACACAAGTTTCAAAAGCAGATGTCAGAACCATCGGGTGGCGAGTGAATACACCCAGATTTCAGACAAGCCACGTCCAGCACCGGCACGGTTGCATTTCCGAAAACGACAGAAAAAACCCAGCACAGCAGTCTCTTCAAATACCCAAACTCATTTTCAATTCACCGGATCAGAGCCTTACAGCAGCAGCAATCTGCACCTAAGATGTTTCCGAAAAGCCTCGGAATACTTTAAAAGGTATTAAACATCCCAGCGGAGAGTCCTACGGCACAGAAAAGCCAAGTCTTTTCCCAGGTTACACAAAAGGAGGAGAGATTAAGTGCTTTCCCTGCGGTCCTATGTTCCAGGTCTCGCTTCCTCCAAAGGAGTGATGTTGCAATTATATTTTAAGAGGAACTCGCAGGGCTGTGTTTTTTTCAGCAGCTGTAACATTAAAGGAAATGGGCTTTTTCTGGCTTTTTTTTGCCTTTTTTTTTTTCTTTGCGTTTTTACTCAAAGTTGTATCGCGCTGGGGAAGTTTCCCAGCTAATGTGACAGATATGAAATAGGGCGAGAAAGCTCAGCCTGGTCCCGGGTGACAAGTGCGACCAAGCGCCAGCCGCGACGAGCGGCGGCCGCGCCCGCAGCGGGTCCGCGGGGCCGGGGCGGGGGCAGAGCCGCGCAGCCCCCTCAGCCCCACAACATCCCTCCCGCCCCACCCGCCGGCCACAGCACCGCCCCGGCTCCCCACACGCGGAGAGGGAGGCGAGCCCAGCTCCGCGCGGCGTGTGCTCACCGTGCCCGGGGGATAGCGGAGCTGAGGAGGAAGAGGAGGATGAGGCAGCGCTACCCAGAGCAGCTCCGGCTCCGCGGGTGCTGCCGCGGCGGCCGCCGAGCGGGACTGAGGGAGGGGACGGCGGAGGACGGGAGGTGCCGCCGGCGCGAGCGCGCGCGCGCCCCAACGGCCGCCGCTCCCCCCCGCCCGTGCGGGCAGGGCGGGGGCGGGGCCGCGCTCGCGGGGGGGCGGGGCCGGGAGATGAAGGAGGCGTGGCCCGGGCGCCTCCGAACAAAACTTTATGAGCGGCCACCCCGGGGGAGGACGAGGGCAGGGCTGTCACCCAGAGAGCTGGGCCATCACCCAATCAGAGCAGAGACGGAGGGCGGAGAGAAGTGGGTACTGACCAATGGGAGGGAGGGAAACTCGGCGGCGGGCGGGGCCGGGACCGGAGGCGGGGCCAGGGACCCTAATCCGTGTGGCCCGAATTGGGATAGGCCGGCGGCCCGCGCGGCAACAGCCAACCAGGCGGCGCGGCGCACATAGCGGTCCGCGGGCAGCCAATGGGCGGGCGCGGCGCGGGGCCGGGGAAATGACATCAGTCAATCAGGCGCCCGGAGACCGAGACCCCGCCCGTGGCCCCTCCGGCCCCCAGCGGGGCGGGGGGAAGGGAGGGAGGGAGGGGCGGCCGGGCCGCGCATGCGCCGCGCGGTGTTTGCTTCCAGCACGTGCGCGCCCGGGGGGGCGGGGGCTCAGGGAGCGCGCGTGGGGTGGGGGCGCTGCCCGGGAGGGGAAGGTCCCTGAGGGGCCCCTGAGCCTGTGAGGGACCGGCCCCGGGAGGGGAAGGTGTTTCCCCTAAAGTCACCTTGATTACCAGCTGTAATTAGATCGGCAGGAGCAGCCGCCGATATAGACTTAGCGGTGTTGCGTTTCGCTAATGCTTTATGAAATTATCATTCATGTGTATCTACAGAGGTTTTCTGTGCCAAAACAGCCCCGATTTGGGGGTTTGATTGGCTGGTTGGCCGGTTTCAGGTTCTTGTGGGTTGCTTTGGTGTTAAAATTCTAATGAAGATGGGGCTGAAAATACATAGTGTTTCCACCCGTGTTAGGTGGAAGAAAGAGCGGTGTCCCTCCAAGCCGAAGTTGAAACACCTTATAATAAAAAACTTATAATAAAAAAATAAAAATAAAAAAAATAAAAATCAACCAAAGACCACAGACAGAAAAAAACAAACAAACAAACAAACAAAAAAAACACAAAACCCCCAAACCTAAAGCTCTCAGCGTCATCTGTGTTCACCCCCACCCCCAGAGTAAATGATCGGCAGCACTGACCCGACCGCGCTGATCCGATAATAGTGTGACAGGGATCGCCAGATCCCGGGAAAGGGTCGTGCTCCCGCCGCCGCTCCCTCAGGAGCAGCTCCCAGAGCCTCGGGATGTGTCACGCTTTCATTACTTTCTATTATTGACACTTAAAGAAAAAGCCCATTCTTTTGGCTGCGAAACGGCTGTGGCAGCAGAAACCGGCGCTGGAAATGCTTTTGTGTAAAAAATGTGCATGGTCTGAAAGGAAAGCCAATTTTCTGGCGTTTCAAGAAATGCTGTAGTCAATTGTACTTGAGGAAAAGTGCAAATATATTCCTGATTTTATAGCAGAGATTATAAATGTAAGAGAAAAGTGACATGAGCACAAGGAGTGAAACCAAGCTGAATGTATAAGGCAATTGGAGTATTAGAGGTCGTGTAGAAAGTGGGAACTGCTGTTGTAGGGGCTTGTTCCTGTCACATTTAATGTTTGTTGAGCAGCCGTCCTGTTCTCATCTGAACCTGCCTTCCATCAAGCACAGGAACAGATGTATGTGGATCTGATACCTCAGAGTCTCCCCCTTACACCAGGGTGTTACTTTGTCCTCCGTAGTTGCCATGCATTGCAGTTCTACTTGTTTCCTGTGAGGTCTAAAATATCCTGCTTTTCAGAAAGCTTTCATAAATTATCTCTTTCCTAAGCTGCCCACTGTTCTTGAATTCAGCATATCCCATGATTCTCCATGCATGCACACTTCAAGGTCTTTGAGATCTTCTAACTCATGATTTAAGCCAGCAGCCAACTTTTATTTCTCTTCATCTGAGTGATTTACAGTTTATTAGCATTGTTATGGTAATGGGAGCTCCAAAATTAATTTCCAAACGAGTCACATCAGACCTATGTTATGATTTGTCACTTCCCATCTCAGTGAAATATTTCTGCATATGGATCAAACCACACATTCTGCAAACACAGTTCATTGGAATCAGGTGAACTACCCAGATGGTTCAAGAAATGTCTGTGTTTTGGTGGCATAAAGTCTCAAAGCTCCAGTGATTCGTTTTTTGTTTGTTTGTTTGTTTATCTTGTATCTTTGTTTCATTTTTTGGTCAGATTTTACTGGCCATTTTCAGTGTATGGTTTCATACAGTGATACAAGGGTAATTATTCCACTATTTTCCTCCCTCCTCTCTTTTACTTGGCTGGATTTCTTCATACTATAACCTCGAGTTTCTTCATTAAATCACCTGGGCAGAATCACTCTGCTATATGCAGTTTCATATGGTATGATAAGGCATGTGAGACCAGTGGTATGTCAGGTGTGCTGGAAAATGTGTCTAGCCAGATCCAACTGAGAGGAATCTTTCTGTCTTCCTCAGCCTGTCCTCCCTTCTTATCCCTGCTTCAGACAGAGGGGGCAATGTTCTCAAGCCTGCCCGGATCACCACCCCCGCACTTCCTTAAGTCATTTCTCTCAAAATGACCTGGCTTATTTTAAGCAGTTTAAGGTGTGATTCCATGTCGGTTTCAGATGATCTAAATCCCGAGTTCTCCCACCCACTCCTCCCATTTCCAGCTCCATGTTCCTATCTCTTTTCCTGTGCAGGCACTTTTCTGCAGCTCATGTTGCCCACAAGGCTGGTTTCAGCCGGACAGGTGACTGAGGGAGTCAACTTCAGGACTGAGCTGTGTTGTGAGGCAGTGACAGAGGTAATGCTGTCTCTTCTGTTTGTCCTGTTTCTTTCAGGAACTTCAGAAGACTTACTGTTTGCTTTTTTTTCCCAGTGTTGCAATTTGTACCAATTATACTGACTCCATCGTTTGTTCCTGTAAGAAATTATCCTGTCGCTTACCCATTGAACTAGCAATACACTGAACTAGCTGTATTTATCAAATTGATAAAGAGATACATGATGCTTAAAACAATAATATAATAGCCTTTGAGTATTCCACAAACCCGTGACAATGCAGATGTCAATGCAGTCTAATTTTAGACATGACACAGTGAGTCTTCTGTTCATTAGCTTTTGTTCCTTGTCTTATATCCAGCTTGATGATAACCCCTGGTTTATTTTGGATGGGGTTTTTTTTTAGCTGCTATAGTTGTAGAATCCTTGGTATTCCATTTTAGATGTAAGGCAAGTCTTCAGGGGATATATTCATTGACCATAAGACATTTGGGGTCCTCAGCCAAGACTTTGCTTTTTAAATTATTTCCAGCATGACTTCAGACACAGAAGAGAACTGCCTGGAGCTGGGGAGAGAGGTAGGAAGGAAGCTTATATCAAATAAGCTTATATCATTAAATTTTGGGGTATTTGATGGTATGGTTTATGTCAAATTTTGAGGTTTAGTTTGTTTGTTTTTAATTAATTAGACTACAGTTGGTTTGTCTGGAAAACTGGGTCTTAAACAAAAATTAAGAAGGCCAACATCCTGGCATTTGGCACTTCATGCATGTTATTGCCAAATCTGAAGCTCATGAAAGAATTTTATTGTGTTTTCAGTGTTAGCCAAAATGATTGGTAAACCGAAAGGCCTTTATAACATGAACTAGTCATTAATTCCAATGGAAAATTTGCTTACTAAATTTTAACAGCTTTTTTTGTTTCTTCACACAGTATTTAGTAAAGAAAGGGTTTGCTTCTGCCTCCCTTTCAGCCATCTCAGCAACTTAAAGAGGAGGGCAACATACTTTAAGAGTGCATGCTGTGTCTTTGCAGTCCACCACTGACGTAGGTGGATGTGTGAGTAAGACTCATTTTGTTGTTAATTTATCTTCTTGATGCTCAATATCAGACTCCATTTGCATTGACTGAGTAACTGTGGAGTCGTTATGAAGGCTATACGAACTACATTACTACCCTTGGAAGTGATTACTGCTGAATTTTTGCCTCTTAGGCCTCCAAACAGGATATTGCATTATTATATGCAATTCTCTTCCCTGATGTACTGTCTGAGTATTGGCCAAACCATCAGTGTACTACTGTGATTCATGCAGAACACTAATCTCTATGGAGCCGAAGTAAGTATACATAAGACTGTAAATGATTTTCATCTCTATGCCCCCCCTTCTTTTATAACATGGAGCTCTCACTCTTGCTGAAATACTATTAGATGCAATGTAGCAGCCAGATTGCTAGATGCTATTAAATCATCAGATCATGGCTGGTGTCCTTACTCGCCTGTCTTTTCTGTGTAGGGATTACAGGTTTGCCTGTTGGAGACTTGTGGACATTGGAATTCTTTTAAACGTGATTGGTTTCCAACAGACACGTATGGCTCTCAGACACATGGATATCAGTCCATGTGTGTGATAGGTAGAACTACAGAACGAGCGTCACGGATGTTCATCCTTGAAGTTGAAGTTTCAGAGCTGGAGGAATAGTTCGAAGCTGAAGTTGGTCTTCCAACCTGGTTATGAGAATTACAGAGTATAAACTATGCCTTACATGCGTCATTTGCTTTGGAAAATAAAAACCTGTTTTGAAAGTATTCGAATATGCAGAAATGAGGAGTGTGGTACATGCCAGTCAGTGAGGGCTTCCTCTTAGTTGCCGTGTTTATTAGCCTGAGCCTGGTGCAAGGCACAGCAGCCATTTGAATAAGACACGCACAAGCCAGCTGGTAGCATTGGGTGTGTTGGGCTAGTGAGCAGCAGATTTCTTTCTTACTTAGGTCATGTTCTTATCTTTTGCTTGTCCATGTTTATATTGGAGTAGCGCTCAGAGGCCCCAGAACTGAAGAAAATAACCGCACTGCAGACATTTATGAAGTTGTCATGACTGCTAACGCTTCTTCCTGCTCCACTGCCACTGCTACAAACTCTGCCATAGTGCAGCAAAGAACTGAATGGCTTCCGAAAGAAGTGTGTGAGGAAACGTGAGGAAGTGGCTGGAAGGAATGGAGAGAGGAAAAGAGAGGAGGCTGGGATTTCTGAGAATGCATCAGTACTTTAAGGAGTTGTTGAATACAGCATCTCACATATATCTTGCTCATCCTGCTGCCACTGCCATTTCTGAAGTGGCTGATGCTGCAGGTTAAGCTGTATGTGCTTGCTGGATCCATCCCCTCAGATGAAGGAGTATTTGGTCAGGTTTGTGTGGAGCTACTCAGTTTTGCCCAGGATGAAGAAATCTTTTTAATATGCCAGAGCATGGTATAGGACTCTGGATAGGCCGCCTGTGAAGCCAGAACACATTCAGAGGAAGACAGTGCGTAGATTTTCCGGTGCACAGTCTGATCATCCTAAATCCACTGAAGTCCTCATTTAGGCATATATTGTTCTTCTGTTGTTGCTCTTAGACATGCCCAACTGATGATCCTATAAGGCCTCTTGATCTATGTGTGGAGACTGATCTAACATATCAGGATGTACTGGCTTTTGCACCAAAGAGAGAATCCAGTTTCCAACTTCAGACTTTTCCACACATTGCATTGTGTAGCCAGGAAAGAAGATACAGACTTCCACAACAAATGGAAGTTGTGGAATTTTCAACACATAGAAACTTTTCATGAAAACTTGGAAACTGCTCTGAATCTGAGATGGCAACCTGAAACCACAACATTTCATGTTATAATCAAACCATAAATCTCCCAAACTTCCATATTGATTCTGCAGTATAGCACTAAGCTTTCATTTCAAATCCTTCTGGAAGACTAGTATAACTTCCTGTGTTGTTTTAGAGAAAATATATTGCATGATCTGACTAGTTTTTACCACTATTATAAAGGGGTGACACAATCTGTAAGGCTTTCCTTTACTGTAACTTTGTTTTTCAGCTGAATTGTTTTAAGAGGAAGAAACCGGGACAGCCAAGGCCTGTAAACCATTTATTGCCCAGTTTTAAAGGCTCAAGAAGAATTTAAATGATGCGTAGGTTTTGTGCTGGCTGTGTCCACTTGTAACAATTTTATCCCTGTGAATTCTTGTTCAAGCTGTCTAGACCCCCTATGTTGCCATGGCTTTGTGAAGCCTATCTTTGCAGTGCAACCTTTGACCTTCCTTAAAGCTGCTGAACAGCAATCACAGCAAACATTTTTCCCAGGGGGACATGTGTATCATTTACCTGGGACATCTATGTTTTGAATCCCTAGGTTTTGAAGGATTTTGAAGAACTAAAGTGCATAGAAAATGAGTGTGATAGAGCTCAGCATGAGGTCTTAGGGAAGCAGAATGTGATTTTATAAACAAAATCTCTGCAAAATACTGTTTCTCTTTATGCTTTCACACCCACATACTTGGAAACATCAAAATGTGTGTGTTCAAATGGCCTGGTCAACATCACATGTGTGATCACACAGAGGATAAGGATATTGTCTGTTTTGTCCTCATTGTGCCTCTGGGCTTCTTGATTGGCAAGTAAACTGATTTTGGAATTGCTTTTTATACTTTCTAGAAGGGGATAGTGTAAAGAATACTTTGTCTCACTGTTTTGTTTCACTCTTCAGAAATCTATGAATGTCATGAATGTTTGTTGCCTTTGTGTATTTTGTGGCCTTGCATTTGTTCTTTGTCTTGTTTGATACCTTATCTTTAGGTCACTTTGTTCTTTCTCTTTGTCCAGATACCTTTTTAACACGTGTTCTACTGCTTCATCGGGCACTTTCACATACACACACAGACATACTTCCACTCAGACTCTGTTAATGCCAGTCTTAATATTTGTTTCAAATCGCTGCAAAAGAACCAAGTAGCTCCTCGTTTTTCCCAAAACACTTTGTTCTTCAAGAGCAAGCCTCACTTTTTATTTCATCTGTACAGGAAGATATCAAATACACTTAGAAACCTATCCCAGTAAGAAGACCCCATTTACTCTCTGACTTTAGGATTCTGCCCTAATCTAGAGGGTCATTAGTGGAACAGAGCCAAAAGGACATTCAATTATTTGCTCAAGTCTGAAAGGCCAGTGTTTCACAACTGCAGAGTGTGCTATTAACAAGGATGAATCCTTTGGCAATGAATCCTTTCTACTGCAAAATACTTGCCGTGTGGAACCTAAGACCCTTATTACAAATTCATGAATGATTTTAATGCATCCTGGCAGCTTTCATAAGCATTGCAGTCATCTGGAAGCAAGTAAAAAAAAAAAAGATCATTGGTTCGTACAAAATAATATAGCTATGCTCATATTTGATCTAGCTCTCTAGTGGGAAAGGAATACGTGAAGTTTTTTTAAAAATTAAGAGACATTTCTACTACATTACATCTCACCAGTGGATTTAGAAATCATGTTCACATAAGAGATAATAACTCAATGTAGATCATCAATAAAAGCAAAAAGATGTCTAAAATGAGCACAGTCCTTGGTGTGTTGGAGGAGTTGTAAAATTATGTTGTAAAGCTAAACTACCCATTGTCAGAAAGTAACACTCTAATATAGGAAAATCTGGCTATCGAGAAGTCTTTTCATTCCTTCATTGTATTTTAAAAAATTTTCCGCAAATTGTGAGTTTCCCTTTGAGCACTCCTAGCTTGGAGGCACTGTTTGTTGCAAAGACAAAGCTGTCAAGAAAGGAAAGCAGATCTGAGAGTGAGCGGCTTTTATTTCCTTGGGGCACTATGATGCAAAATGATAGCAACAGTCAACAAGTAACATTTTATGTTGTAGAGGCTTGAAGAAGTATCCAATAGCTGATTTCCACTACAGTTTTCATAATATTATTTTTCCCAGTAAGCAACTGTTATGGAAACAAAAGAGATATTGTGCGATCACAAGTCAGAGAGGAAGCTTTGAAAAGGATGCATTGAAATGAGGAGTGTTCTAGAGCTGCTGTGTATAACACAGTGATATAAAGTCAAAACTAAAGATTCAGACTTCCAAAATTCCATCTCCTATTCCTATAGAGTCAAACACAGCTGTGGTTTGCATAAGGCTCCTAAATGCTTTGAAATCTCTTCCTTCTGTAACGAGAACAGGTTTGTTCCACTTGCTCAGATTTGCCTAATAAATTCACATAAAGAAAGCTTACAGTTAATCCCTCTAACCAGTCTGCCATGAAGAATTTACAGTTTAACAGTTTGCTTTGCCACTGATAAATAATATCAATAATCATCATCATCAGAATTAGGCATCCTCCCTCTCCATTCAGTCATGTGTAATTTGCATTCAGGGATACCAAAGAACAGTGTAGTGAAATCACCCCCAGGCAGCTAAACAGTCTGAAGAAATTAAGCTTGTGCATACACTACATGTCAATTAAGAAAAAATCCTCAAAAAAGAGACCCATGCCTGAAACAGAGCAACAAACCAGGAAATATTTAGGTTGGTTTATATTTATTTACAAATGTTGGTAGCAGATGGTTACCAACATTTCATCAGTGTGGCTGTTTAAGCAACTTCAAAGCTGTAACAAGCAGCCCAATTTATGTACCAGCTCGCCTGCTTCAGCCCACTCTTACTCACGTTACCCAGAACTACTTCCATTACAATTCATCACACAGCTACGCAGCTAAAAAAGGAAATAGATGCCAGTGCAAAACCAGAAAAGCAGCATGGTTGTCCAAAGCTAGAGATCAGTGGTTTCTCCATCACGGATGCCTGCTTTGAGTGATGTGCACAAACAATCGTTTTCAGAAGATTTCTCACTCTCCTAAGTACAGAGCGTACCTTGTTTATTAAGCCTTGTAGAAACTACAGATGCAGATGCTACCTTAGCTGCTGGTTAGGCATAATTTATCTCAGTACTTTCTTTTTAAGAGAATGTATTTAGCAGATGAATTATAGTCTGATCTTTTCCCACATTACCCTCCTTTTCATACAACAGCCAAGGTGGCTAGGATGAGGTGATAGCTGACAGATGAAGGTGGCTAGTCAAAGGGACATCTATAATACATATTGGTTTAAAAATACTGTCTAAAGAAAGTAAATACAAGTGGGAATCTAAGCTGAATTTCCCCCAAAGAAGGCCTCACCCCTAAGAATATTGCATCTGGAATTGTCATACAGGATATACAGTTTTTGTGCATCCTCCATTGAACAGACTTGGGCTCCTCTTTCTCAGATACCTAATTCACTCACAAATTCAAGAATAAAGATTATGTTTTCATAGGCAGCTGGACAGAACTGCTTGTGATACCAAAGTATAGACAGAAGCAAACATCAATTTTATCACCATAAAAAGGATGGACAATATAATGAGCAAACAGTGATTTACAAATGGAAACAGGAATGCTTGCTTTGTAAATATTGTGAACCTGACTTTCCCATTCCTGTTCTAGCAAGAGGTGAGGATCAGAGTAGTCACTGGTTAAGAAGAATGTCACTGCAGATGGCCCAGAGAAGAGTGTACCACCATCATTTCATTGTCTGACTTGGCCTCAGGGCCTGGCTGGTGTCAAAAACCTCTACTCAGCAAGAGCTCAAAGTGTGAGTGTGCACATCAGTGTTTGAGAAAGTGTAACTGACTGTATATTTGCAAATTAGAAAGCTGCTGACTGCACTCACTTGTTCCTTCCTGGGAAAATTCTATCAACAGTGACAATATGCAACATCATATGAACCAGATGGAGTCTGAACTGGAAATGGGTGTAGTTTATGCGGATTTAATTGAGTACACTAAAATTACTAAGATGCTGAGAAATTTTCTTCCCCTTTCCTATCTTTAATTTATATGTAGTAAATGCTCGAAACAACTTTTACAAGAAAAATCTCCTCAATTGGGAGTGATTTGCTTTTTAAAGAAGTCTTACCATGTGACATGGCACGTTCCACAGGAAGTTTTATTTATGGCAGGATGTGAATGTTTAGATCTGATGCTTGCAGGGTATATGCCCACTATACACTTCTGAGGTCCTTCCTCAGAGTGGAACAGCTCTGAGCTTACACATTAGGCCTCTGTGGGAACATTTCCATGTCACAGCTTGACTGATGCTCCCATCGACTCATTGTTCCTGAACCTGTTCATGTGTATTGGAGCATGGAGCAGTAACTCTCAGTGTGGCAGGGCCTGCCATTGTGCCACCCCCAGGAGCCCTGGTGTGCCCAGGGGTGGCAGAGGAGACAAGGACGCAGGGCTACTGGTGCTCTGGTTTTCCAGTGCCCTCACTGCAGCTCCACTCAGTCCAAGAAACAGAGAGGTGTTAAGTTAGTTTTGGGCCTTAAAGCAGTGCCAGACTGAGGAGTGGATGATGGATGTGTGCAGGCTGAAAACTGGCTGAGAGCCCTGAGTAACTCTCCAGTGTAGACAACACACTGGAGGAGACTTTGGCAGCATCTCCACTTACCTTGCACCAAGTGCTGAATCATCCTGCTTAGCTGGAATGAGCAGCACCTGGCCAGGGGAGGGGCACCAGGAATGCTGTTGTGCTAAGGGGCTGTGCCTGACTGGGGCTCAGGGTGAGCTTTGGGGCTCAGGGAGAGTTTTGGGGTTTGGGACACTCTTGGTTCCTGGACAAAAGCGCAGCTGCCCTCCCACCCACACAGGGCAGTTGCCTCCAGAGCCAGACAGAGCCAGATGTGCAGGGTTCACCTCTGAGAAAACAGCAGATTCTTCAGACACCAGGCACACAGATTTTTGTGGTTGCCCTTTTCTCCCTGTGCTGCAGAGTGGAGCCAATGCTTCACGATCTTTCTGGAGGCAGAAGCTGTGGATCTTGCTGGTGGTGGATGCAACCAGTGCCGTTAGACTTGTCTTAGAAGTTGCTAGGAATGACATATTTAGGTTACAGCAGAACACATTTTCATTAGGTGGTGCTGCTTCTGGAGAGAGAGGAGTGCTGAGTAGTAATCATTATTATTGCTTTAACAGATTGTATCTGTGCACGTCTGCCACCTGCCACTCTAAGTACTGTGCTGTAAAGAGACCCCCGGTTTTAAATCCTAGTGAGTGACCTTATTATCAGTTCCATGTTTACCAAGCCCACAGAAACCTGGAACCAAACTATGGAATTTAAAAATAAATACATTAAAGGATTCCTTTGCCTTGTGGTTTGGCTTCTGGGTCTTTATCATCCATATATGTAATTTTTCATTTTTCTCTCTACAGCAGGCTAAGATTTTAGTTGCAGGAAGAAGGGAAGGAAG